TACACCCATTAAGCTTTCCTCATTACCTGGCAAGCCCATGGGGTACAATTGTTAGAATGTGGAAGAAAATCTGTTCACGGTAATGTTGGGTAACAGCGTGGAATGTTTACTAGCAGACAGAACTCCTAATTAGGTAAATGTGTATTGGAAATGACCTTGAAGTCTTCAGAGTGGAAGGTAAGTAGTTTGAACATGAATACTTAGTTGGTAAATACCATTTTAATAATTCTATTTGGGTTTCACAGACTGAGCATTAGGTAACCCTGTGACTAGCCTTTAAGATTATTATAGTTAACCTTCTTAAAAACCAAAGGTGTACATTTTGACATTGCCTCCCCTCCTCCTAAAACTGGATAAAACCCAGTAAAGTGCAACTTGACAGTGATCTCTCTCAGATTCTAAAGAGGCTGCCAAACTCATTTAAGATCTAAAATCATCTAAGATACTACAGATACTAAAAAGAAATTATAACAACTAAAAATGGTAATTAAAAAAAGAGCTAAGGACAACTTAAATAGTCTCCTTCTAGGGTCTACTATCGCACTGCAGAACAGTGTATATCCCACATCTTTTAAAACCCTGTAAAGCCAGTGTTTCATGTGTAAGTCTCAAAACCTACTGTGTCAAGTAAATTTCACTTCAGAAGAATGGATTGAGGTGTAAATTTAATCCCCTTTGTTAGGAATACAAGGATTCCCCCCAAATGAGATTTATCATATCAGCTGCAATATATGCCTTGCAAAAGAATGCAAGCCAAACCAATGCCTCTCAGATGCTCCAAACCAATGTAGTATGCATGTGAGAAACAAGGAGATAGCTGCTTTGAATTATTACTGAAATCCTTAAAAGAGCAGATTTAAGAAATCCTTAAAATCTGCAGAATCAAGGAACTGTTACAGTTCTGTTTTTTTCCCTTTCCCTCTGCCTCACCCAAAACAAGCCTTCATCCTACTGCTGTGATGATGGGAAATCACATTAAAAAGGGCTCATGTTCTGTATTGGTTGACAAAATTATTCTAATTTTTTGGGAGGCTGAGGCAGGCAGATTAAAAGGTTAGGAGTTCAAGACCAGCCTGGCCAAGAGAGTGAAACCCCATCCCTACTAAAAATAGAAAAATTAGCCGGGCATGGTGGCGGGCGCCTAGTCCCAGCTACTCAGGAGGCTGAGGCAGGAGAATTGCTTGAACCCAGGAGGCAGAGGTTGCAGCAGTGAGCCAAGATCACACCACTGTACTCCAGCCTGGGCGACAGAGAGAGAGATTCCATCTCAAAAAAAAAATTGTTCTAATTTTATACACCAAAACGTTTCCTGCAGCAAGTTACCCTGCCTTCTGTGAAAGGTAAACCTAAGACAAACATGTGAAGATTCCATAAGACTCTGGCTGATGGAAGGTCTCAGTTCATCCACATTTGGGGAGAATCAATCTAAATAATTTTTAAACATTTTTAAAGGAAAGTATCCAGCTGCATATAGCAGCAGTTAAAAAAAGGGGGGGGGTACGGGTAGGGGGCTTCTCAATAATTCAAGGAAAGTATCCTGGAAATGGTAATGCTCAAGCTGAGCTTATTAAAGCATTCTGAACAGTATTTTTTAAAAAATCAAGTATCAAAGAGGACAGAATTTGAAGTGAAAAAACTTTTCTGTGTACAGTGTTCTATGTGCAAACTGCACGTTTCTGCAGAATGATGAGCTGTATCAAATATCACACTGAAACAAAAAATATATAGTCTAAAGTAAACTCAAATGAGCGAAAATATGACAGAACCCAAGAGGAACAAAGTTTAATATCTTAGGTGTCCTGAAAACAATTCAGAAGAAACCTCCCTTTTCTTCATCATCTACTATGATTCATTTAGGCCCAGGAGGGATTGTGGCAGGATTCTGCACTGATGAAGTTGGAAATGGCTGCATATTCATCCCTGGCTGGAATGGTCCCCCAGATTGGGTGGGAATTACTATAGACGGTTGTGTTGTTCCTGAAATTCCTACCCACTGGACTGGATACGCCGTCCCTCCCACAGCATTATACTGACAAACATGGGGCATTCCGTATGATGATAATGGCCCAGGAAATGAAGGGAGTGAGAGTCCTTGTGGCAAGGAAGTTGGGACAGCTCCACGGATTTGGGACAGAGAAGAAATCCATGTTGGTGTGTAGCCCATAGTAGATGGAGTATTCTAACAGAAACAAAAATAAAAACAAAAGATCAGTTTATTTGGTATATGCTTTTATCAATCTATATATTCCTTCCTATTCTTTTTTTTTCTATTGCTGCTGCACAAATAAATATTCCTTCCTAGTCTTTTTGGTTTACTATTCCTATTATTACTATCAGTGACTACCATTTTTGGAGTACCTTTCTATATGCTAACCATAATTATGTACTTTAATTAATGGCATGTTCAGAACTGCCTTGCCTTACCTTTTCATAAAGTTATTTCCATGCATATATACATAGAAAGATACTTGACATGATGTTTATCTAAAGTTAATGAAAATTATTTCTGGGTGGTGGGATTTGAAGGTGATATTTTAAAATTTGTACTTTTCTACACTGATTAAATGATGAACATTATTAGTTTATAGATAATAACCTGATTTTTTAAAAAAGACAAATTGGAGAGGTTATACATTTTCTCTTGGATATTTCAAAGGCATCTCAGAAACAAATGCCTAAAAACCAAATGTGTGATCTTCCCCTACCAAGCACACTGTCTGCTCACATTCCCCATCTCGGTGGTTGGTATACTAGAATAGTATCCAGTTATGCGAGCCAGAAACCTAGCCTTCATACCTCCCCTTCACCATACATCCATTCCATCACCAAATCTTGTCCATTTTATCTCTTAAGCATTTTTTGGAATCTGTTCACTTCTCTTCAACTCAGCTTCTCCCATCTTCCAGACCAGTCAAGAGTTACCATGACTCTTTTTTTTTTTTTTTTTTTTTTTTTTTTTTTTTTTTTGAGACAGTCTTGCTCTGTCACCCAGGCTGGAGTGCAGTGGCGTGATCTCGGCTCACTGCAACCTCCACTGCCTGGGTTCAAGTGATTCCCCTGCCTCAGCCTCCTGAGTAGCTGGGATTACAGGCATGTGCCACCATGCCCAGCTAATTTTTGTATTTTTACTAGGGATGGGGTTTCACCATGTTGGCCAGGATGGTCTTGAACTCCTGATCTTACGATTCACCCACCTCAACCTCCCAAAGTGCTGGGATATAGGCATGAGCCACTGCGTCCAGCTTACCATGACTAGCTCTTAACTGGTCTGCCAACATCTACCTTTACCTCCGATAAATAATCCTTTTTTCTTGCTTGAGTCAGAGTCGTATTTTCAAAAAACAAGTCTGATCATCATGTCAACTCTAGGGCTTAAATGGCTTTTTATCTTTCTTAAAATACAGATGAAATTCCTTATCATTCCACTTTTAAGACCCCGTCTACCTTAGATCCATTGTACACTAACTCCTCCTTGCTCTCTTCACTTCAGGCAAACTGGCCTACTCGCAATCCCTGCATGCTCCTTTCCTCATACAGGGCTTTTGCGTGTGCTGTCCTTTCCACATGGAATCATTATTCGCTCCTCTTCACCTAGCTAACACCTACTCATCCTTCAGAGCTCTGCTTAATCATCACTTTCTCAGTGAAGCTTTCCTTGACTTTCCTTTACTAGGTCAAATTTCCCTTATTGTA